TCTACGCCACGGCCATGGCTGCACAGGAGTTACGCTGGCTCACCTACCTGCTGACCGACCTGGGAGAGCGGCCTCGTTCTCCTCCAGTGCTGTACGTCGACAACAAGGCCGCCATTGCCTTGTGTCAGGAGCACAGACTGGAGCACAGAACGAAGCACATCGCCCTGCGCTACTTCCTTGCTCGAGAGCTGCAGCAGCGTGGTCAGCTTAGTCTTGCGTACGTGGCCACTCGGGCCAACACTGCTGATGTGTTCACCAAGGCGCTTCAGCCTTGTGATCATCAGCGTTTCTGTACTGTTCTAGGCCTTGTGCCTACTGTCCCTCACTTGCTCACTTCTTGACTCTGCTTGTACTGTGATCTCTATATATATACCTGCATGCTTACACTTGCTAGGTTGTGATCACTGTACCTCTTGTTACATTATTAAACTGCATGTGAACTGGTTTGTGACCGCTTGCTTGTGCTCGGAATTTGTGTGGTTTCCTTGAGATCCACCCTGAGCTTGCTTTGCTTTGCTTTGACTGGTCTTGTGACCATCTGGTTGTCTCCCACTTAGCCTATGGGGGTGTGTCAAACATCATACATGTTTATATTGTGTAGGCTATAGTGGGTTTAGCCTTAGGGGGTACAACATTGTTAGGGTTTCCTACTTGTATCACCCTGCTGCCTAGTTTCATCATCCTCGTTCAGTTCTACTTTCTAACAGTTACCCCTGTCGAGGTCTCCCGGTTTCTCCCCCCCCCTCTCTTTCTGGCTCCCGCTCCCGCTGCCCCTCCGGTACACCCTCCCCCCCCTGGTCCATCCCAGTCTGGTGTGTCGCACGCTACTCCCCCCCCCCTCGGTAGCCCCTCGGGTCCCGTCCCCTTCTCCACAGTCCTCCTCACAGTCACCGCAGCAGCCGTCAGCACTTCCTCCACATGCTACTGCAGACTCAGAGGGTACTGGAGTTCATGGTGAGCACCCTAGAGGTGCTAGCTCTGGGGGTGTTGGAGTTGGAGCTGAGCGTGCGCCTGCTGGAGGTACTGGTTCTCGGGGTGCTGGAGTTGGTGGGGCTGTCCCTGGAGGTGCTACGCCTGGGGGTGCGGGTGCGCCTTCTTTTGGACCTGGAGAGACTGGGACTGGTCGCGTTGCCGCTGGGGGTGCTAGTTCTAGAGGTGGTACGGCCCGTGCTGTGGAGAGCAGAGCTGGGGCTACTGTGTCTCCGGACGCCACTCCTCCTCCCCACCCCTATTCGACCCGGCACCAGGCTCTTTTTCAACTTGGGCGTGAGGAGCAGCGGAGGTTGGAGCGAGAGAGTCTGGAGTTGGTGCAGCGGAAGCGGGAGCTTCAGCAGCTGGAGCAGCAGCAGCAGCAGCAGCCGCCCCCGACCCCTGTCACTGGCCTCCGGGCCCTTGGTCTTCCCTCTTCTCCTGCGTCCTCCTCCTCTCCTCCTGTGTACGGTCCCACGTTTCCTCCTCCTGACCCTGCCCCGGCTGTTTTCCCCCGTCCTCAGACTCAGTCGTCCCCTCCTCCTCTTTCTCACACTTGGGCTTCTCGCTCTCCTCGTGCTCGTCCCTCGTCCCCCGTCACTGACCTTCGTACTGCCTTGTTTCGTTCTAGTCCACCTCGTCCCTCACTGCTTCCTCCTCTACTCCTGTCACTGACTACTACCGCACGTACCGTCCTGTTCTCTCCCGTGTTCTCGCCTCCCTTGTAACGGACCCTCGTGCCTCTCTGTCCTCTGTCTCAGCTCTTACTGCTGCTGTCACTGACTTCGCCGCTACTTGCCGCCTTGACTACGCCACTCGTGTAGTGGCTGCTCCTCCTACCCGTCCTCTTTCCGTCGGGGGTGAGTCAGCCCTTGGCTGTGACGCCCTAGAGGACAGGAAGTTTGAGCTAGAGTTCCTGGCAGCCGCCTCGCCTCATCTCTGTGCCATGCTCGTCGCCCCTGAGGGAGACCCCGACGCCCTTGACATACCGACTCCTCGCACTTACGCTGAGGCAGTATCAGGGCCTTGGGCCTCTCAGTCGAGAGCTGCCACGGACGCAGAGATGGCCTCCTACAGATCCACATGCACCTACTCTTCGAGTGTTACTTCACGTAGCAGCGCAGAGAGACTACGAGCTGCACTCTCTCGACTTTTCTACTACCTTTCTTCAGGGTAGCCTACATGAGGAGGTCTGGTTGCGTCGTCCCTCTGGCTTCACTAGCACCTTCCTACTTGGGACCCAGTGGAGACCGAGACGACCGGTCTACGGTCTCCGCCAGGCACCCCGTGAGTGGCACGACACTCTTCGCTCTACGCTGTCTGACCTCGGTTTTTAGCCGTCTATTGCCGACCCGTCGCTGTTTGTTCGTCGTGGGCCCACACCTTTCTTTGTTCTTGTGTACGTCAACGACCTGGTCTTCGCCACTGCAGACAGGGTTGCTCTGGCTGAGGTGAAGTCTGAACTGTAGAAGAGACACACGTGCACTGACCTTGGTGAGCTGCGCCACTACCTTGGCCTGCAGATCACCAGGGACAGAGCAGCTCGCACCATCACTCTGACTCAGTCACACATGGTGCAGCAGGTCCTTCAGCGGTTCGGGATTCAGTTCTCCGTCCTGTTCACTGGACAGCTGCTGTGAGGGTGGCGAAGTACCTAGCGGCGACATCAGGCATGGGGCTTGTGCTTGGAGGGAGACAGCGAGTCGTACTCACCGGTCACTGTGACTCTTCTTACGCTGACGACGTCGAGACTCAGAGGTCCACACAGGGGTACTATTTCAGCCAGGGCTCTGGCGCTGTGTCGTGGAGGTCTACTCGGTCCTCGTCTATCGCGAGCTCTACCGCTGAGGCCGAGATTTTCGCCGGAGCCATGGCTGCACAGGAGATGCGCTGGTTGACCTTCTTGCTACCTAACCTTGGTGAGCGGCCGAGCTCTGCACCGACCTTGTTTACTGACAACAAGGCGATGATTCTCCAGTGTCGAGAGCCTCGAATGGAGAGCAGAGTGAAGCACATCGACGTCAGGTACTTTCTCCTTCGAGAGTTTCAGAGACGCGGACAGGATCGTTTGGACTTCGTTGCCTCCGAGGCCAACACTGCAGACATTTTCACCAAGGCCCTTCCGTCTTGTGACCACTACAGGTTTTGTGTGCAGTTAGGCCTCGTTGACACATGTTCTCATCTACTGTAGTCTTGTGTTCTTACTTTGCTTTGCTTGTAGTATATATATATATACTTGTGAACTCTTGGAGTGGCCTTATGGTCCCTTGTTTGTGCTCGGACTGTATGGTGACGTTGTGATCAAACCTGAGATTTGCTTCATTATGACTGGTCTTGTGACCTTATGCCTTTGTTGTTCCTGACACCCCTCACTTAGTCTATGGGGGTGTGTCAAATGTAATAGACAGTAGTGAGGCATGTCATGTGAGGTACAAACATTAGGGTTTGTTATATGTACCCCAAGTGATTGTAATGACACCATCCTTTCCCATTCTAAGATCAGAGGTCATATTTTCTTGTGAATGACTACTCTGATTGCTCAGTGTCCAACAAAGGTTCACCATGAGTCCTCAGGGTTGGGAAACAAAAAATCAGAGCCCGCGATTTTCCGGATGTTGCTTGTTTTTAGCGAGCTGATGCATGGTGGGGTGCAAGTGGCGAGAATGTTGCAAGGCGCTAGGGGGAAATGGGCTGAGTTGCAATGAGCGTGGGTTTGTCAGCATTGATTGGCTAGAGGCCGAGTTACAGTGGTTCAACGCCACTGTACCTCTTCTGGGACGGTGTAAATTCATGATACTGAGACTATAAAATCACTATTCGAGACAAATAAATTCGCGACGCGATCCGTTTTCAACTTCTGCAACTTAAAAAACCCGTGGTTGCTCGAAATTCCCAGACATATGGTGTTATTTCACATCCGACAATATTTGTTTTCACGACAACTCCCTGTGCGACACGTAATAATGCGTTTTCGTGCTCCGTCAAACTTCACAGATCAACATATATTTACACCCAATATATTGTGACTGTACCTTTTACTGAGGGTACTCCGATGACCTGCGCAAAGGTGTCCTGCAGGAAACACGTTGGGAAGATGAGGCTACACCCCGTGAGTGTGATGTTGGGGTATCCCTCGTTTTCGAAGCGATTTCTGCCTTGTGTTTTTTGAGATGAAGTACTCGATTGCCTTGAAAGGTACGAGCTTCGCCTGAAGCTCCGCTTCATTCAGTGCGTGGCCTGTTTCGACCGGCCATCATCAAGCCAATATGGATTCAGCAAGACTCGTGGCTGCAGTAATTATAGTCGTGTCCCTCTTTCAGTATTTCGTTAGTGTTCGCCCGTTATTAGCGCGAGGCGACGGCGAGGGTGAAATCGGGACCGGAGTCGGCCTTAGCGCGACTTCCGTTCCTGGCGGTTCGCGGAACAAGTACGCTTACGTCACGCTGTTGTGCGATGACGTCATGGCAGAGGCGGCGATGGTGATGGTGCACTCCGTACGCCGTACAGGCACGCCTCACGACATCGTAATACTCACCATGAACGTCTCCAATCGCACGCTAGAGTCGCTGGTAGCCCTGGGGGCGAAGATTGAACCAATTCTGGAGCCCGTGCCTTATCCGTTCGCCGTCACGGCGGACCGACTTGCAATCAACAAGCCGTGCAGGTAAGACACGATACTGGAACCCGTGCCTGATCCGTTTGCTGTTACTACTGCGAACAGACTCGCAATGTACAAGCTTTGCAGGTTCGAGCCAGATGTTCCTTCCTAGCAGCTTTGAGAAGTCTAAAAAGGAACAACCTTCTTCTTCAGTGGCCATTGGTTCCTCGAAGCAGGCAGTGTGGCAAGCAGCAAGCCACGCTTGTGTGTGTGAAAGTGAGGGAAGATATCTCCCTCCAGCTCACTGAGGCTCGTTCGTGGTTGAACCCTGCACTGCACTGCAGGTACGTCACGCTGCTGATCTGGATGACGGTGTGAAATGCCCAAGGGGGATCCGACTCATAAGTGGTGGATACAGGACTGATGCTTCGACATGGCCCTTATTGAAGAGGTCGTCAGTCGAGACCACGGTGCTGTCACCATGCTCATCCCCTCTGGACCTCATTCGTCTCTCTCATTCCTCCCTCCCTCCCTCCTTTGCAGGTATCCCAAACTGCTGACGTGGAACATGGTGTGCTACAGCACCTCAAGCGCATCTACCTCCAGCGACCTACCCATTGACTTGGATCTTATGTGTCCGTCCCCTGCCTCCCTGCACGCAGGTACTCGAAGCGACCTACCCATTGACTTGGATCTTATGTGTCCGTCCGTGCCTCCCTGCACGCAGGTACTCGAAGCTGCTGATGTGGAACATGGTGCGGTACCGCAAGCTGATCTACCTGGACTCGGACCTGCTCGTGCTGCACAGCATCGACGACCTCTTCCACCGCCCCCAGCTGTCCGCCGCGCCCGACACGCTGCCGCCCGACAAGTTCAACAGCGGGCTGATGGTGGTGGAGCCCAACCGCGCCATGTTCAAAGACATGCTCTCCAAGATCGCCACCCTCGTCTCGCCTAACGTGGGCGACCAGGGCTTTCTCAACAGCTACTTCTCGTCGTGGTACCAGCAGGGCCCCGTGCACCACATCGACTACACGTACAACGCACTCGTGCGCATCTCCGTGTCGCCCGGGTGGCGGCTGTTCATAGAGCCCAAGCTCAAGGTGCTGCACTTCTCGGGCAACACCAAGCCCTGGAACATGATGGTCGACCGCCAGGTACGTGTGCTTTGCCCCCCGCACGGATGCCTTGTGTTCCTTCTCTCCCTCTCACATGACTGCGCCTTTTCCTCCTCCTCCTCCTCCTCCTCCTCCTCCTCCTCCTCCTCCTCCTCCTCCTCCTCCTCCTCCTCCTCCTCCTCCTTCTCCTCCTTTTCCCCTCCCCCTCCTTTCCAAACCCTCTCCCATCCCTCCCGTCCCCACTGCCTCCCTCGCTCGGCAGTTCCCCACAACGAGGGCGTTCGACCACCGGTGGTGGGAGGTGTACGACGACGTCTACTCCATCCTGCACCGCCAGGCCCTCAAATCCGCCAACCCCTCCTCCTCCTCCTCCTCCTCCTTCAACCCCCGCTCCACCCTGGACACCACCGCTGCTGCTGAGAAAGCTGGTGGGGGGGGAAGTGGAGGGGTTGGGGGGGCTGGGGAGAGTCTGGAGGCAGTGGCGACTGCTGCCCGGCTGGCAGCAGCAGCGGCCGCAGCAGCAGGGTCGCCCTCGGAGCCGCCCCAGCTGGCGCCGCAGTGCCAGAGGAACTACATGGCGTATGCACGGTGAGTTGAGGAACCACATGGCGTATGCACGGTGAGTTGAGGAACCACATGGCGTGTGTGTGGTGAGTTGAGGAACCACATGGCGTATGCACGGTGAGTTGGGGAACCACATGGCGTGTGCACGGTGAGTTGAGGAACCACATGGCGTATGCACGGTGAGTTGAGGAACCACATGGCGTATGCACGGTGAGTTGAGGAACCACATGGCGTATGCACGGTGAGTTGAGGAACCACATGGCGTATGCACGGTGAGTTGAGGAACCACATGGCGTATGCACGGTGAGTTGAGGAACCACATGGCGTATGCACGGTGAGTTGAGGAACCACATGGCGTATGCACGGTGAGTTGAGGAACCACATGGCGTATGCACGGTGAGTTGAGGAACCACATGGCGTATGCACGGTGAGTTGAGGAACCACATGGCGTATGCACGGTGAGTTGAGGAACCACATGGCGTGTGTGTGGTGAGTTGAGGAACCACATGGCGTATGCACGGTGAGTTGGGGAACCACATGGCGTGTGCACGGTGAGTTGAGGAACCACATGGCGTATGCACGGTGAGTTGAGGAACCACATGGCGTATGCACGGTGAGTTGAGGAACCACATGGCGTATGCACGGTGAGTTGAGGAACCACATGGCGTATGCACGGTGAGTTGAGGAACCACATGGCGTATGCACGGTGAGTTGAGGAACCACATGGCGTATGCACGGTGAGTTGAGGAACCACATGGCGTATGCACGGTGAGTTGAGGAACCACATGGCGTATGCACGGTGAGTTGAGGAACCACATGGCGTATGCACGGTGAGTTGAGGAACCACATGGCGTATGCACGGTGAGTTGAGGAACCACATGGCGTATGCACAGTGAGTTGAGGAACCACATGGCGTATGCACGGTGAGTTGAGGAACCACATGGCGTATGCACGGTGAGTTGAGGAACCACATGGCGTATGCACGGTGAGTTGAGGAACCACATGGCGTATGCACGGTGAGTTGAGGAACCACATGGCGTATGCACGGTGAGTTGAGGAACCACATGGCGTATGCACGGTGAGTTGAGGAACCACATGGCGTATGCACGGTGAGTTGAGGAACCACATGGCGTATGCACGGTGAGTTGAGGAACCACATGGCGTATGCACGGTGAGTTGAGGAACCACATGGCGTATGCACGGTGAGTTGAGGAACCACATGGCGTATGCACGGTGAGTTGAGGAACCACATGGCGTATGCACGGTGAGTTGAGGAACCACATGGCGTATGCACGGTGAGTTGAGGAACCACATGGCGTATGCACGGTGAGTTGAGGAACCACATGGCGTATGCACGGTGAGTTGAGGAACCACATGGCGTGTGCACGGTGAGTTGAGGAACCACATGGCGTATGCACGGTGAGTTGAGGAACCACATGGCGTATGCACGGTGAGTTGAGGAACCACATGGCGTGTGTGTGGTGAGTGAGTGGCGTGTGTGCGGTGAGTGAGTGGCGTGTGTGCGGTGAGGTGAGTGAGTGGCGTGTGTGCGGTGAGTGAGTGGCGTGTGTGTGGTGAGGGAGTGGCGTGTGTGTGGTGAGGGAGTGGCGTGTGTGTGGTGAGGGAGTGGCGTGTGTGTGGTGAGGGAGTGGCGTGTGTGTGGTGAGTGAGTGGCGTGTGTGTGGTGAGGGAGTGGCGTGTGTGTGGTGAGGGAGTGGCGTGTGTGTGGTGAGGGAGTGGCGTGTGTGTGGTGAGGGAGTGGCGTGTGTGTGGTGAGTGAGTGGCGTGTGTGTGGTGAGGGAGTGGCGTGTGTGTGGTGAGGGAGTGGCGTGTGTGTGGTGAGTGAGTGGCGTGTGTGTGGTGAGTGAGTGGCGTGTGTGTGGTGAGGGAGTGGCGTGTGTGTGGTGAGGGAGTGGCGTGTGTGTGGTGAGTGAGTGGCGTGTGTGTGGTGAGGGAGTGGCGTGTGTGTGGTGAGGGAGTGGCGTGTGTGTGGTGAGGGAGTGGCGTGTGTGTGGTGAGGGAGTGGCGTGTGTGTGGTGAGGGAGTGGCGTGTGTGTGGTGAGGGAGTGGCGTGTGTGTGGTGAGTGAGTGGCGTGTGTGTGGTGAGGGAGTGGCGTGTGTGTGGTGAGGGAGTGGCGTGTGTGTGGTGAGTGAGTGGCGTGTGTGTGGTGAGGGAGTGGCGTGTGTGTGGTGAGGGAGTGGCGTGTGTGTGGTGAGGGAGTGGCGTGTGTGTGGTGAGGGAGTGGCGTGTGTGTGGTGAGTGAGTGGCGTGTGTGTGGTGAGGGAGTGGCGTGTGTGTGGTGAGGGAGTGGCGTGTGTGTGGTGAGTGAGTTGCGTGTGTGTGGTGAGGGAGTGGCGTGTGTGTGGTGAGTGAGTGGCGTGTGTGTGGTGAGGGAGTGGCGTGTGTGTGGTGAGGGAGTGGCGTGTGTGTGGTGAGTGAGTGGCGTGTGTGTGGTGAGGGAGTGGCGTGTGTGTGGTGAGGGAGTGGCGTGTGTGTGGTGAGGGAGTGGCGTGTGTGTGGTGAGGGAGTGGCGTGTGTGTGGTGAGGGAGTGGCGTGTGTGTGGTGAGGGAGTGGCGTGTGTGTGGTGAGGGAGTGGCGTGTGTGTGGTGAGTGAGTGGCGTGTGTGTGGTGAGGGAGTGGCGTGTGTGTGGTGAGGGAGTGGCGTGTGTGTGGTGAGTGAGTGGCGTGTGTGTGGTGAGGGAGTGGCGTGTGTGTGGTGAGGGAGTGGCGTGTGTGTGGTGAGTGAGTGGTCTCCTGACATAATTCGTAGAGTGCAGCAGACTCTGGTGAGGCAGGGTCAAAGCAAAGGACATACGGTAGGTCCATCCACGTGATCATTAACTGCTTCCACCGCTCTCACCTTCTCTACCTTCATCTCACTCCCTACTCCCCATACCAAACCCATACCCATGTCCCACCGCAACCGGGCAGCAAGCCCCCGATAACGGACAAGTTCAGTGTGATCATCAACTGCTTTGACCGCTTTGACCTCATGCTCTACTTTGTGCGGCGCTACGCGCGCTTTGAGTTCGTGCACAAGGTGTACATCGTGTGGGGCAACACGCGCGTGACCCCCTTCCACCCCTCCTACTTCAACGTCTCCACGCCCGTCGAGATCCTCTACTCCGGCATCGACTCGCTCAACGACCGCTTCAAACCCATCCGGTCAGTGGAACGATGGGCATTCTCCTTCTCGCCCTGCCATTCTCTTTGTTGCCCTGCCATTCTCTTTGTTGCCCTGCCATTCTCTTTGTTGCCCTGCCATTCTCTTTGTTGCCCTGCCATTCTCTTTGTTGCCCTGCCATTCTCTTTGTTGCCCTGCCATTCTCTTTGTTGCCCTGCCATTCTCTTTGTTGCCCTGCCAATCTCTTTCTAGCCTTGCTTCGTTCTTGTCCTCTTGATTCCCCATGCACGTGTGACCCTCTCTCTCACTGCATTCTGGTCCCCCAGCTCCCTGGAGACGGAGGCAGTGCTGATGTGTGACGACGACATCGAGGTGCATCCAGGCGCGCTGCGAGTGGCGTTTGAGCGGTGGCAGGAGGAGAAGTACCGCCTGGTGGGCTTCTTCCCGCGCGCGCACTACCGCGAGGTGAACGGGCCGCGCAGCGGGCACATGACGTACGTGCTGACGCCGCGGCAGGAGTACAGCATCGTGCTCACCAAGATGTTCCTCATGCACGGCGACTACCTGCGCGCCTACACCTGCATCATGCCGCAGCGCGTGCGCGAGTACGTGGAGAGGAACAAGAACTGCGAAGACATCACGATGAACTTTGTGGTGACTCAGCTGTCGGGGCTGCCGCCGCTGCTCATGGAGGACCCCACGAAGCTGGACTACGGCACGTCGTCCGGGCTCTCGTCCCGAGGGAGCCACGACAACTCCAGGTGAGCGGACGGTGGTGATGGTGATGCTTCTTCATCCCCAGGTCCGTGTGCATGAACGACAGTGCCATCATGCTGGCTTACATGTGTCTGCCTGTGTGTCTTGACCAGCCTGTCCATGTGAATGGTGCTGCTTGTCCCTCTGCATGTGCGCCTGTGCTGCAACACCCCTCCACCCCCAGGTCGGTGTGCATGAACGACATAGCCATCATGCTGGGGTACATGTCACTGCGCAACACATCAGAGGCCGTCACCTACTTCGAACGAGACAAGATGGTCAAGGCGAGTCAATCAGTGTCAAAGTCAGTCAACTGAGTATTGGTGTCGTTATGGTGTGCAGTATCGGTGTTCATGAGGTGTGCAGTATCGGTGTTCATGAGGTGTGCAGTATCGGTGTTCATGAGGTGTGCAGTATCGGTGTTCATGAGGTGTGCACTATCGGTGTTCATGAGGTGTGCAGTATCGGTGTTCATGAGGTGTGCACTATCGGTGTTCATGAGGTGTGCAGTATCGGTGTTCATGAGGTGTGCACTATCGGTGTTCATGAGGTGTGCAGTATCGGTGTTCATGAGGTGTGCAGTATCGGTGTTCATGAGGTGTGCAGTATCGGTGTTCATGAGGTGTGCAGTATCGGTGTTCATGAGGTGTGCAGTATCGGTGTTCATGAGGTGTGCAGTATCGGTGTTCATGAGGTGTGCAGTATCGGTGTTCATGAGGTGTGCAGTATCGGTGTTCATGAGGTGTGCACTATCGGTGTTCATGAGGTGTGCAGTATCACAAATGGCTTCACGCTCCTCCCTGCATGTTTCCTCATCCCTCACTCACAACAATCAGGTGGTGCGGCGGCGCAGGCTAAGTACAGCAGTGCACATGGTGTTTGACGCGTTTGAGGTTTGGAGCACGGCATTCCAACTCCCCCCACTCTTCCCCTCTCCCTGTCCCCTTTCCCCTCGACTCCCAGGTGGTGCGGCGGCGGCGGCTGAGCACGGCGGCACACATGGTGTTTGAGCCGGTGTTTGACGCGTTTGAGCACCGCGGCAGCAAGCAGTTCCTGAAGCAGCTCACCTTCCAGCACCCCCTCATCACCACTGAGATCGCCCACGTGCCCACGCACACCGTCAACCGACACGTCATGTGCATCAAGGTGTGAGTGGGTGTGGGTGGTGTGTGAGTGCGTGTGGGTGGTGTGTGAGTGCGTGTGGGTGGTGTGTGAGTGCGTGTGGGTGATGTGTGCGCGTGTGCACGTGCGTGCGTGCGTGCGTGCGTGCGTGCGTGCGTGCGTGCGTGCGTGCGTGCGTGTGGAAAGTGTGCACCTCTATTCAGCGTGTCTGTAAACACTCAAAATCCCATTACTGTTTTCTGCCTGTCACAATTCCACCACCCTCTCCTCTCTCCCTCCCTCCCTCCCTCCCTCCCTCCCTCCCTCCCTCCCTCCCTCCCTCCCTCCCTCCCTCCCTCCCTCCCTCCCTCCCTCCCTCCCTCCCTCCCTCCCTCCCTCCCTCCCTCCTTCCCTCCCTCCCTCCTTCCCTCCCTCGCTCCCTCCCTCCCTCCCTCCCTCCCTCCCTCCCTCCCTCCCTCCCTCCCTCCCTCCCTCCCTCCCTCCCTCCCTCCCTCCCTCCCTCCCTCCCTCCCTCCCTCCCTCCCTCCCTCCCTCCCTCCCTCCCTCCCTCCCTCCCTCCCTCGTTGACCCTCATGCGCCAACCTGCCCTCGGCCAGGGGGACAACGACGAGGACATGGACGACCCGGCGCGCAACCAGTACACGCTGCTCGACTTCGCCTCCGTGCCCCCAGACGCGGGGCACCTGTCAGGCAGCACCTTCATCGCGCACAGCCAGTGGGGCTTCGAGGGCCGCTTCACTCTGCTGCACCTCGCCTCCTCCCTCGCCACCTGGCGCCGCTCCCACGGCTGCTTCGGCCCCGCCCGCCTCATGCTCTTCCAGGATGGCATGCTCCGCACGCAGGTGGGCTGGCTGCTGCTGAGGGGGTTGCTGTGTGGAGGGCGGATATGTGTGCCTCTCCCTCGCTCCCACGGCTCTTTTGGCCCCCCCGGGCTCATTCCTTCAAGGACGGCACGCTCCAGACTCAAGTGGGCTGGCTGGTTCTGTTTGGTTGGTTGGTGGGTGAGTGGATTGGCTGGGGGGGTTGGTGTGTGGAGGGGGGTTATGTGTATGTCTTTCTCCCTCCCATTGATGTAGAAAATGAGGTACAGACAACTGCAAGGGATATGCAAGGAAAGCCTACTACATATATGGGACTAACCCTTCTATTCCCCTCACTGTCTAGCCCTCCAGGGTTGCAAAGCAGTCCCCTGGGTTCAGCACCCCCTCTGGCCCTCCAACCGGCGGGTTCTCAGCTTGTGCCGCCAGGTTTAGCTTTTGAAGGTAGCTAAGCGCCTGCCCCCTCTGCAGGGCGACGGACCATCGCTGCCGGTACTGGTGCAGCATTTTTGCTGCCTGGTAGGAGGTTGGGTCTGCATTGAAGAGTTTCCTAGCGGCCGAGTCAGCAAGCGTCTTGAGGAAGGTGTGGACCTCCTCGCATGGGCACCCGTAGGTTTCCACCGCCAGTGGGAAGAATCCCACCCAAGGGAGGCGCGCCCCATCTCTCTCTCTCGCTCCCGTATCTGCTTCGACCCCGCCGGGCTCATGCTCTTTCAGGACAGAGTGCCCCGCATGCATGTGGGTGGGTTGGGCAATTGTACGTGGGTTTGGAAGGGGGGGCGTCTGTTCCTTTCCCACCCTCTCTCTGCTGCGCACGTGCCTGCGTGCGTGTGTGCATGTGTGTGGCCGACGGCAGCGCCAGCCTTCAAGCCTCATAGAATGCGGATGGCAGGGCCACACAGTGCCTGGAGATTGCATTGGTGCTACGCGGCAGGCAAGGCAACAGTTGCTCAAGCCGCGCATTTTCCATTCCTCCCACACATGTGCACCAACGGATCCCCACACACGTGCACCAACGGATCCCCACACACGTGCACCAACGGATCCCCACACACGTGCACCAACGGATCCCCACACACGTGCACCAACGGATCCCCACACACGTGCACCAACGGATCCCCACACACATGTATCAGCATGGGCCAGCCACCTGGTCAAGGCGGTGCTAGGGCTGGGGACAGCGCCTTACGTGAGGCTACTGGGTGGGAAGTCAGTTTAGTGCCACAAACTATGCGTTCCCCATGCACCTAGTCGCCCACCCAGGTGTCAGCATGGGCCAATAATCTGCTCAAGGCAGTGCTGCGGCCAGGGGCAGCAGCTTGCTTGAGGTATGCTGTCAACCCACACATGCCGTACCACCCTGCTATTCCCCGCTTCCAACACACCCTCACACCACACATACAGATATCAGCGTGGGCGAGCAACCTGCTCAAGGCAGTGCTGGGGCCGGGAGCAGCGCCGCCGTTCAAGCCACCGGACGGGGTGACGCCGCAGTGCCTGGAGAACGCGGTGGTGCTGCGGCAGCGGGACACCTTCAACGCCGATGAGTGCAGCAGCGACGCTCAGGAGCTGCGCCGGATTGTCCGTGCCTTCTGCCAGTGAGTGGCGCTGTGAAGAGTGCCGGAATACTCTGTTTCTGACTTGCGCCTTGATGAGTGTGTGTGTTTGAGTCGAGAACACCTTCAACGCTGATTAGTGCAACAGCGACGAGCACGAACTCATGTGAAATGACACGAGTTTTGAGGCGCCTTAACACTCGTCTCGCCCGGAACCTCAATATTCACAAGAACGCATACGAGAGAACTCATGCCGCGTGACTTCCCGCACTGCTCACTTCCCACCTCTTCCCTCCATGTGTCCATCATTCCCCCCCCCCCAAAACACCTGAGTACCAGCAGTGCAAGCACCGGAGGACCCCTCTCCACTGCTGGGGGAGGAGGGCATGGACGCAGCAACTCATACACAAGATGTGAGGCCATTCAACCCTCTCCACTTCCCCCGTCCCAACTCCTCCCTCTGTACCCCCTGCTGCCACTGTCCACAGCACCCGGGTGCCAGCAGTACCAGCACCGGAGGACCCGCCAGCGCTGCTGGGCGAGGAGGGCATGGACGTGCGCATAGCCTTTGCGGGCGACGCGGACAATTGGGCGCGCATGGCGTGGTTCAACTTCTCCCTCGCCGCCACATGGATCCGCCAGGAGTGCGCCGTCTTCTCGCTCTCCTGCGAGGTCGCCACCGTGCCACGAGGGGAGTTCTGCCGCGTCAAGGTGAGCGCCTGTGCCTGTGGGTCAACTGTCAAGGGATGCTGCAGAAGGCCAGTCAGCGCTGTTGCCCTCCCGTCCTGCCCTCTCTCTCACCTTCTTCTCTCCTCCGCTTCTCTCCTTCCACCCTCCTTTCCTCGTCCCTTTCCTCTGCTTTTCTCTCAGCTCTCTCTCGCTTCTCTCTCAAGTCCCTGTTCTGAACTCACCAGACTTCTTTCATCTCACAGGCTTCTTCTGTTCCCAACCCTATCCTCGTTATAAGCTCTGCCCAATTCTTCTGTCCCCCTGTTGCAACTCACTCCCCACAGGTTTTGGGCCTGGGCCGAGCGGACATCGTGATTGGTCCGTGGGGAGACCGGGCTTTGGACAACATAGTGTTCCTGCTGCCAGGAACAGCCGTGCTGGAGCTGTACCCATCCAACGCACATGAGGACGACCGCAAGACCGCCAAGCTTGAGGCCGAATGCCTTGACCTCGCTTACGAGCAGGTGGGGGGGTGTTGGGCAGGTGTGGGGTTATGGGCCGGTGGGGAATGGTGAGCAGGTGGAGAACGGTGAGAGGTGGGGAATGGTGAGCAGGTGGGGTGGTTCGATTGAACAGGTGAGTGTTCATGACGCTCCCTGTCATCTCATCCCCTCCCCCCTTGGCCCACCCCAGATGCGCATGGATGTGGCCATGATTGATGTGCAGTCGTGCGTGAGCAAGCACCTGGAGACGCATGACCCTCACACCACACTCCCTGCTATCCCCCATTTCCCCACCTCCACTCTCCACCCCGCAAACACGCATGGACGTGGCAACAAAGGATGTGCTATCGTGGGTGAGCACAGCAAACTTCACCATGTATGCACGCTCCCCCTCTCCACTCGCCCAACCCCCTCAGATGCGTGTGCATGCACCTGCACTCATACATGCACGTACCCTCACACCGCACTCCACCATTTCCCCTTTCCTACTTCCTTCTCCGCTCCCCACCCATTTTTCCTCCAGATGCACACGGATATGGGAATGAAGGGCGTGCTGCGTGTGTGAGCAAGCACCTGCATGCAGTAACCACCTCTCACACCTCAATTCCCTGCCTCATTCCTTCCACTCCCCCACCTCCTCCCCCCCCATCAGATGCGCATGGACGTGGCAATGAAGGACGTGCTGTCGTGGGTGAGCAAGCACCTGGAGACACTGGGGCGGCGGCAGAAGGGCGGCGCAGAGGAGGGCGAGCCCACCTTCCTGGAGACCTGTGTGCACCGCAACCTGCGCTACTGAGTGGGCGAGATGAGGGAGACGGAAATCGAGGAGTGGTCAGGAAGATGGAGAAGAGGGAGAAGAGGGAAATCGAGAGGGGGGAAGGGATGAGCCCATCTTTCATAAGTCCGGTGTGCACCGCAACATGCGGTTCTGAGTGGGCGATGGGGAGAGGGGGAGGGATTGGGAAGGGCGAAAAGAGGGGACGGGGGGGAGGGGGAGGGGGAGGAGGGTGAGGGGGAGGGGAAGGGGGAGGTAGAGCTCACCTTTCATACCCCGGTCGGCTCTTTGGTCGAACATTAGTCTCGTCCAGGGCTAATTTTATCAGGGTAAATCACCCTGATACCCTGATAATCAGGGTGGTTTTTGGCTGTCACACTGATGCCTTAGGGTATTTTTTTCAGGAGCTTGTATTTTCCTGATAGGCCAGGGTTTACGTTTAAGGTACAGCGACGGCCCAGGGTTACCGATCTTCAAAACGAGTTTTACCCTGAATCGAGTACATTACCCCCCCAGGCCCCTCCCCTCCCCCCCCCCCTACCCCACCCCCCCTTTCCCGTAACCCGAGGTTCTCGCGTGCCAACTGTCGAAACTGAAATTTGGCAAAGGCAGTATCTGAGCTGGCACGAGGGGGGGCTCCATTGGCCAGAAATACAGTTTCGTTATTGCCTGCCAACGATAATATCAATACACCAGGGTTTGCAAAACTGGTACACTGATCCTACAGGGTATAATTTTCAATAACTAGGAAATACCTGATGGATCAGGGTTTGAACAAGGTGTCACACCAGGGGTTTTTTTATCAGAGTAAATTACTCTGTTTCTCTGAAAATCAGAGTGGTTTTTAGGGGGTCACTCTGACGTGTCTGGGTAATTTTTTTGGAAGATAAGTTTTCTCTGATTTGTCCGGGTTCTGATTTTAGCTACTCTGAGAGACTAGTGAGGCTCGTAGCACAACGCTTATACATTTTGGTATGAGTGCAGAAGGCCTGGGTTCAATACTTGAGAGGACACTCAGAGTCGCAAAAATAGGTACACTGACTCCCCAGAGCATATTTTTCAGAAGTTAAGTTTTCTCTGACAAATCAGAGTAACGCTCATAATGATCCCTGAATTTCAGAGTTCCCTAGAAAACAGCTCTGGAAATCCGAGTAGTGGAAATCCAAAAAAAAGCCCTGTGTCACACTGATAATCAGGTTTTTGGACTTGTGCAACACTGATCACAAGGGTTGCTGAAAACCAAAAATTACCCCTGATCTCGTCAATTGTTTGCGACGATTTTTCGTCAGGTCCTCATTTCGTCAATAAGGATGTTTCTGTCAAATGTTATTATAGGTTCTTAGGCTACAGTGAGTAGCACTATAGGGAGTACAATACTTTTAGGGTTGCTATTTGTATCCCTTGTTTCCCTAGTTCACACATTCCGTTGTTCGCTAACTTTGAGATGGTATCATGAGTAGGTGTCGATCCTCTCGCCTAGCCTAGCCTAGCTCGCGCCCTAGCGCCATCCGCACCCTTACGCCCTCCGCGCCCTCCGCGCCCTCCGCGCCCTCCGCGCCCTCCGCACCCTCCGCGCCCTCCGCGCCTTAGCCTCCGCGCCCTCCGCGCCATCTCCGCCTTAGCGCCCTCCTCCTCCGCGCGTTAGCGCCCTCAGCGACCCTAGCCTGCGCCCCTAGCCCGTCGCCCAGGCGCCCGCCCTAGCCCGACGCCCAGGCGCCCGCCCTAGCCCGTCGCCCAGGCGCCCGCCCCAGCCCGTCGCCCAGGCGCCCGCCCCAGCCCGTCGCCCAGGCGCCCGCCCCAGCCCGTCGCCCAGGCGCCCGCCCCAGCCCGTCGCCCAGGCGCCCGCCCCAGCCCGTCGCCCAGGCGCCCGCCCTAGCCCGTCGCCCAGGCCCGCGCCCTAGCCCGTCGCCCAGGCGCCCGCCCTAGCCCGTCGCCCAGGCCCACGCCCTAGCCCGTCGCCCCAGCCCGCGCCCTAGCCCGTCGCCCCAGCCCGCACCCTGGCCCGTCGCACCAGCCCCGCAGGCAGCGCGCCGCGCGGGTAGCGCGCCCCGCGGGTAGCGCGCCCCGCAGGCGGCGCGCCCCGCGGGTAGCGCGCCCCGCAGGCAGCACACCCTGCAGGCAGCGCTCCCCGGAGCGCTTTAGCGCCAGAAAATAAATAAATAAATAAAAATTAAACCCTAAAAAAAAAAAAAAAAAAAACTGCAACTGTCGGCCGCGTTCCTGCTTGCCGGGCGACCTGCACAGTTGCCTGTATCCCGCAGCCGTCAGTACTGCAGCCCCTACTGTCGCACGTACGTTCCACTGCCAGTGGCTCTACTAGCGGCAGCCGACAGCCGCACTTACGGTCTCTAGCTCCGGCCGTTCCTACCTCCAACCAGCCCTAGCTCGCCGTTTCTAGCTCCAGCCAGTTGTGCTCCAGCCGTTCTCGCTCCAGCCGTCCCTAGCTCCTGTCGCTCCTAGCCTGCCGCTCCTACACCCCGCTAGCTTTTATCATGGAGTCCACTAGGGTTCTCCAGCAGCAGGGACAGCAGCAGCGGCCGTTTCAGCAGTGGCTTCCGCAGCAGCAGGGGCGCCCTCAGCAGCTGTGGCGCCCTCAGCAGCCGTGGGGGCCTGGTGGTTCAGGTCGTGTTGGCTGCAGCAGCGGCCCAGCCAGCTGGGGGGCTCGTCGCGGTGGCCGCGACGTCGGCCCCTGCCAGTACCGGATCCTGACCGGGCCTGGTGCTGGCACTACCTGCTGGCGTCCTGACCACTCTGCACAGCGCTGCTACAGCCGCCTCGACTACCTTTACCGTGAGCGTTTTGGGCCTGAGTCGGCTCCCCCGATCTGGCCCGGTCTGTTTCGTAGTGGTTACCCTGTGTTTGATATGTCTATGGATGCTGTTTATTCTGTCACGTACGGATCTCTTGGCTTACGTGTACCTAGCTTAGGACCTTTACCTGTTGCTAGTGTCGGTACTTGTGCTTTTAGTGTAGGTGCTTGTGTAGTCACTAGCCCGGCCGTGACGACTGCTGTTGCGTCGCTCTCCTTCACGTTGGACTCCGGCGCGTCTCAGTGCTTCTTCCGCGACCACACCACTGTCACACCTCTTTCGGCTCCAGTCCCAGTTGCCCTAGCTGATCCTACTTCAGGACCAGCAGTTGCTCGCAGCTCGACCACCCTCCCGTGCCCAGCTGTCCCCTCTGGTTTCCTCACTGATCTCTACATCCCCTCGTTCTCTCGGAACTTGGTGGGTGTTGGATACCTTCAGGACCGGGGGATCACAGTCACTTTTCCTGCGCACGGGAGGACTGCGATCTGTACGGACTCTTCCACCGGGGCAGTTCTTGCCACGTTCACCAGAGAGCCCCACTCAGGTCTCTTCGTCCTGCACACTCCGCCCCCGCAGGTAGCTGCGTCTGGTCAGGTTGCTTCGTCCCCCCCGGTAGCAGAGTCCGGTCAGGTTACTGCGTCCCCACCGGTTGCTGTGTCCGGTCTGGTTGCTGTGTCCGGTCAGGTTGCTGTGTCCGGTCTAGTTGCTGCGTCTTGCTCGTGTCGGTCTTTCACCCACCGGACCGTCTTGTGGCACCACCGTCTTGGCCACGCGTTGATCCCCCGCCTCCGCACTATGGCTAGTCACCGTCTTGTCTCAGGTCTCCCTCGCGTCTTCCCGTCGCTCCCTCCCTCGCCTGCGCCGCCGTGCACTCCTTGCGTCGCCGGCCGTCTTCGTGCCACTCCGCACTCCTCCTCCCTTCGTCCGGCCACTGCTCCCTTCCAGACACTCCACTTGGATGTCTGGGGCCCTGCACCTACGCAGGGACCTGAGAGGGAGCGCTACGTTTTGGTGGTCGTCGACGACTTCTCCAGGTACACCACGGTGTTTCCTCTCGCGAAGAAGTCCGAGGTGACTTCTACGCTGATCCGGTGGCTTCTAGCCACTGAGGGCACTCGTGGCCGTCGTGTCTCCTGTCTCCACTCTGACCGTGGGGGTGAGTTTCGCTCAGGCACTCTTGCCGGATTCTGCGGCGAACAGGGCATTGTACAGTCCTGGACGCTGCCGGAGTCCCCACAGCAGAATGGGGTTGTTGAGCGCCGCATTGGCTTGGTCATGGACATCGCCCGCACGTCCATGATTCATGCCAGTGCGCCCCATTTTCTGTGGCCCTACGCGGTTCGCTACGCCGCTCACCAGCTGAACCTCCAGCCGCGCGTCTCGCGGCCAGAGGCTTCACCGACCAGTCTTCACCGACCCCTGGTGTTGGGTCAGCTTTTCGTGTCTGGGGCTGCCTTGCGCTTGTCCGCGACACCTCTGCGGACAAGCTCTCGGCTCGCGCCGTCCCCTGTGTCTTCCTTGGTTTCCCGGTAGCCTCGGCCGACTGGTCCTTTTACCACCCGCCCCTCCACCAGTTCCTAGACTCCCATGACGTCCGGTTCGACGAGTCAGTGTCCTACTACACCCGGTACCCCTGTCGAGGTCTCCCGGTTCCCCTTCCCCCTTTTTTCCTCGCACCCTCTCTTCCCCCTGCTCCCGCTCCTCCGGTACCCCCACCCCCCCCTGGTCCTGCCCCGTCAGGTGTGTCTCACGCTACCCCTCTACCCTCGGTCGCGCGTCAGGTAGCGGCTCCCTCCCCGCAGTCCTCCTCACAGTCCCCTCAGCAGCCTTCGGTACTTCCGCGACAGGCTACTGTGGACTCGGTTGGTTTTGGAGCTGGAGGTGCAGCCACTGGCGGTACTCGGTCCGGGGGTGCTCGTTTGAGGGGTGCTGGAGTTGGAGGTGCTGGCGCAGGTGGCGCTAGCCCTGGGGGTGCTGGAGCTGGAGGTCCTGGCACTGGAGGTGCTAGTCCTGGGGGTGCTGGAGCTGGAGGTGCTGGCGCAGGTGGCGCTAGCTCTGGGGGTGCTGGAGCTGGAGGTGCTGGCACTGGAGGTGCTAGTTCTGGGGGTGCTGGAGTTGGAGGTCCTGGCACTGGCGGTACTAGTTTTGGGGGTGCTGGAGCTGGAGGTGCTGGCACAGGAGGTGCTGGTTCTGGGGGTGCTGGTCCTGGGG